CTTAAGTCCTGTTTGGCAATCACTTTTCCATGCATTGTATAGTCACTAAATTATACTGAAGATTGTCACATAATTGTCCAGACATTTATGTTCAGCTGTATAGAACACACAGATCTCAATAAAAGACAAATTAAATTAAAAACACAGAGAGAAGTGTAGGTTGACGTGTGCTGCTGTGCTCTTTCCTCGCATTCTGTTATGTAATCTGGCTAAGTAATCTGCACAGTATGCTGCAAGTTGTTTTGTTTGTAAGGTAAATTTCATCCAGTTAAATGAAGAATTACAATTACAGATCGCAAGCTACAAATGAATGGAATCTTATTGATTTTGTTGTAGTGTGGCCAGTATTTTTAATAGACAGCCAAGTATTGTTAATAAAATCAACTTTTGCTTTTCAGTCATGTGAAATTCTATTGTCAACCTCATTAAAACAGTAGAAATAAAAGTTAAGTCTGTTATTTGAAAGACAGTATTGAGTCAAAGCACTTGTCTTCACACCACTCCTGTCCTCTGACCACAATTTAAAATGCAACTCAAATAATTTCCAGCGCTATCAAATTCACCACATTTTCGTGGCCGTTCGTTTCTGTGAGGGCGAGTGATGATGTAAGCCAGCAAAGCGACACATTTCAACTAACAGAAGATGTAGCTAGAAGGAGCACTATCTTCAAATACGAAGACTAAAAAGTCTTTGTGATGAGATACAGCATGACATACTATCAACGTGACTGAGAGAAAAATGTGACAAAGTTGTCACGACTGCATTGTTATTTATTCTTTCTTATCTAGTCGGTGAGGTCATCTGGCCGGGATCTTCTTATCTCTGTCACGTTGGAGCATCTGTAATCCAACACCTGAAAAGAAGCCTTTCAAACTGGCTCCAAACCACTTAATTTTTCCCCTTTTTGATCTCTGTTGAGTCAGAGAGAGGAAGTAAAAATGTTGTTGCAAGACGAATACATGAAAGGCTTTTCACTTGTTCCAACAGATTCCTTACATGAAGCACTAAGCGATACTTGTGTTAAAAAAAAAAACGCACGAAAAGCATAAAAACCAAAGTGTAGCTGAGACATAAAGTGTGACTAAATGTGACTATTAAGCAAAAATGTGTGTTTGAACTCTCACAACAGAGAAAATGTTGAGGTTTTCCTTGTGTTTAAAGAGCCATTTATACCTGATGGAGCACGGGTGATTCACCATGTTTGCGTGATTACGTGTTTTTGGGAGTGCTTCGAGTGACATATAGAAGCCTTTAACCCCGGGCTAAACCACAACAGTTTTCCTAAAGCTGAAATAAAATAACCTATAAATAACAAAGATTCTGATTTCCCCTCTTGGAGGTAGTTCAGAAATCTTAAGTAAAGTTTTTTTTAAAAACTTACTCGAAGCGGATAACTCTCTGAGTGTCTTCATTTTTTTTTTATTAAACTTGATTTATAGGTTCAGAAAGCTGAAGCTGACAGCTAAGTACAAAACAATCTTAAAACATCACAGCATTTTGTCTGAATGTTTTCTCGTGAACCTCTTAACCCTCGTAATCTTTGCATTGAATGGTGATTAACAAAGAAATTAGTGATGATTTTATGTAGAAATGGCGGTCGGAGGTGGTGCACCGCCAGTGATCTTCATGTGTGAAACATTCTGAGAACGCAACCTATAAATTGGTAATAAAAAAAAAAATTAAAGCAATGTCAATAAGATAGTATCTAATTTAATCAATTTGCTTGTTAGTCTTGCTTGAAAATGATTAATATGTTCCATTTTCAGTATTTCTTTAACACAGAAAGATCATTAAAGGACTCATCATCTCATCTTTGTTATAATGCGGTTCTATTTAAATAGTTGCCACACAGTTTTGTTTTTAATCTGCAACATCCAAATCCACCTTTTGGGGGTAAAGTAGAAGCTACAACTTGAATTAACAATGCAACTTCTGTGGAGTTTGGTGTAACAAATGCGACAAATAAATGTGCTTTATAGGTTTTTATTGCTAGGGTGTAATGGAAGACAAGGTAAGGAATTTGAGGTAGATTCTGTTTGTTTGATTGGCAATGCTACACATAAAACATGAAGTTTTGACAGATTAAAAGATCCTTTTTAAAATACTAACCTATAAGCAGACATTAAGCAAAAACTTGTTATTGAGCTCACATTTTTTTAAAAAAGTTTGTTGATATAAGTATCGTGTTTTCATTAAGCTGAAAAAAAAATCATAATTACCAGAAGTGAAGGCTGTTAAACATCCATCTGTGTTTCACACAATGTGTTTTCAATAATATTCTAATTTACTGAATGGGTCTGTATATGATGCCAGCAGTATTAGTTATAATATTAGTTTATAGCCTTTGGCTTTGAGGCCAGCTTTTTGCCCTTTTTGGTACAAGAGCCCTTGAAAAGATCTCAAACATGACCCGGTGCGACTGAGGGGTGTGACCAATCAGCAGATAATGAAAATATATCTGATCTGTGGGTGTGTAGACGTCGATGTTTGACAAAGATAGCAAACTCAAGATGAGTGGAAAGTGGAAGAAACACCCAGCCTGCTACTGTGCCGCACATGTAGCCCTTAATTCCCAGCTACACCCTCTCTCTCTGCTGCCAGTGACGACGGCGCTCACTGCTCAGGGCGAGAAGAGCTCCTGGCTTTGCTTGGCTTGATGCAGGCAGCAGATTTCTGCATTCGATTCTGAAATAACAGAATCCAGGATATCCTGTGGTTAACAGCCACGGCACGGATATTCGACTGTCTTACCCAAAGGACAATCCTCAGCTGTAACCCTGTTGACTCTGGCAGATGGAATATGGATGTTTCAGTAGATTTCATAAAAACAAAAGGTGTCTCCAAAAGCCCTTTGTCGGGGGAAATTGTGTGTCTAGTTTGATTGGTAAACCTTTTGGCAGTAAGCTCTTCAAGGTCATTTAGGGCAAAAGTGTTTGCCAAACCAAACAATTTTCTGCACAGAATAAGTGTTTATGGACCAGGTGTGTGCATGAGTATGAATGTGTCATGTCTTACAGTGAAACCACCCACGTGACACAGGGTGAAACTTTGGTATCCGCGCCAGCCCAGCCCCGACTACACAATGAAGGCATCCTTGGAGATGGCCTTTGTTTACAGCTGGGTTGTCAGGGAGTCCTCCACATACATGGCAATAAGGAAAAGGATTATTTGCCTTGGCTGTGAAAAACGGCTCTAATCAGATCACCATCATGTGAACTCACTGTTTTCCCTCCCTTGCCACCCATCCCTCCTCATCCTTATGCTTTCCGTTCACCTTTCACCTCCTCATCTCAGGCCTCTCTTGTCATTTCAATGGAGAGAACAGCGCAAAAATGAAATTACTTAAATGTCTTGAAACACATGCTAAAAGCCCTCAGTGGCGGTGAAATCACAACATGGGCAATTGTTTTCTCCCTGGCTTTGGTTCATCTCTTTGCTGGCCAGCATGTAAAAAGAGACAGCATGAGATAAGGGAGATCCCTCAGGTTAGGGGAAATAATAAAGCTCCAATGGTGATAAGCTGGTGAGGGTGAAGATTACGTTGCCGTTCGTGGCACAATCTGTCTCTTCATAGCTCTGGGTTTTCCACATGTTCCCTCCAGGAAGTGCAGCAAAGCACATGAGGGCTGGAGGAGGAGGAGGAGGAGGAGAAGGAAGACAGGAGATCTGAGGTAACAGCTCTGAAGGGTGATGAATCTCTGCTCTGCATTGTTCATTGTGCTTCAACATGACCACCCTGTTGTGGGGCTTCTCTCTGGAGTTAAGACTCAACAAAAGATGATTATGTTCTGGCATGGACAGGTTATGTTTCAGCCTGTTGCTGGTTCAGTGCGGGCAGTGTGGGTTTCAGGACAACTTTAGACACCTCCGATGAGTTAAAAGTAGGAAGCACGCCCTTTTGTGGAATTAGATAAACCTGTCTCTCTAATTCAGTAGCCAAACTATAACTTCTTTCCTTCCACGGTCATTGTGCTGCCCTTTAGCGCCCCACCTTGACTTTATCAGGTACTGCAGTATGTACCGTACATTTCTCCCAGCCCCTCCTGTAGTCTTCAGATTTCCTAGACACCTAACTTTTGGTATAGGATCTAAACTATACCAACTTGTGTTAATTTTTAGTCCAAAGTCTATTTTGAATGAAGAAACAATCTGCCACTCAACAGAAACATTTCAAAAAACATGTTTTTTGTTGTTGTTGTTGTTGTTGTTGTTGTGTTTTTTTAATGGCAATACCACTCTACTGTATTCAGTGAGGTAGATTTCCTTTAGAGGCTCTAATGAAGATTTATTTTCCGTGTTGTTACATACAAATATTTCAGATTGTCAAAATAATTTAAATATGACACAAACATATAATGTAAACAAAGAAATGGATAAAGTTGTATTCAAATGTTGATTTTATTAGGAGAAAAAAATTTATGTCTGACCTATTCAATCGCTTCAATAGACCCCATCTGACAATAAAGTAGAAAAAAAGCACTCAAAAAGCAACACACCATCCTCCAATTTAAAGAAAGTAAAAAAAAAAACATACTTGGGATAAAGTAACGTCTGTCTGTATGGAAAGGGTCACAAAGCAATTTGTAAGGCCGAACTCACCTCAAGGTCAATGTTCGCACTTCAACAATCCGAAATGACTCCGTGGTAGAGTTCCTAGGCTGCAACCACTTATGAACCACTTATGACCAAATGTTCCTGTTTCACTTTATCTAAAAAACGTTATGATGAACAACAACATTTTTGGAAGCAGAACAGCCTAAACGAGAATGCCTGGTCAAGAGTTCATGACCATATTCTCAATTGCACTTAGGTTTTGCAGAAGGATTATAATCCAAATCAAACCACCAAATCCACTTCTATGTAACCACAAAACTTTAGACACTTTGGAAAAAACCATTAAGGTTCTATTGAAAATGCAACATTTTCTCTGTGAGAGAGATCAGCAATGTTGGTTAAGGTAATTAACAGACTAAATATTACCAAAGCTCATAATCTTTTCTTAAGGATTTTTCCACACTGACTTACTTTTAACAATGCTCTCTTAACCACCAAACTTCAGGAAGGTTATGTGTGCGTGCTGGCTGCAATTGTCTTAGCTATTTTTTAAGTACATTTGAGCTGAGTTCCACAGCCCATCTTAATCAAAATAAATGACATTCTGTCATCTAATGGCTTAATGTGCTGTAGACAAATGGGTCTGGAGCATTCCTCTGCCACTCCAGGGCAAAATAAAGATGGACTTAGTGGTTTAATTAAATAGCAAGCAATAGAGATGGTTTGAATTAGGGTTTGGACTGAGTAATTGGTTTCCCACATGCTTTACAGATTAGGGATTGTTAACAAGGTAAACAATGTTGACTGTAGGAAATGCAACTGAGATGACTCACTCTTATTTTGACAAACGTGACAATTTTATTAGCATATAAAATTGTGTTCCTACAGCAGAGTTGACTTTATTTATATCCTCATTGATGACAATTCTCGTGAACAGTTTATTTACTTGCCTCGTGCAAAAGGACGTCTTTTGTTTTGTCCCTCACAGTTTTCAGGAAGGTCATGATGCCAGACCCACCGGTGCCCCTCTCCTCCAGCGACGTGGGGGCTCTGCTGACCATCTCCCCCTCTGACTCGTGGCTGTTTTTGCGTAGCTGCCGAGCTTTGGCAGCAGGCACAGTGATAAAGCGGCTCACAACATTGATGTGGTAGCTGCGCAAGGCCAACAGTTTTGACACACAGTCATCAAATGCCTTGCTAAGGCCCTGGTTGGCCTGCTGCTGCACAAAACCCCTCAGGGATGGCTGCAAAGAGATGTCTTCGATCAGTTTCCGGTGGGCAGGTGGCATGTAGTTCCTCATGCGTGTCAGAAAGGCACCTGATTAAAAAGACAAGAGCAACACAGCGTATTGTTATTTCTAAACTTATATCGTCGTTTTATAATTGGTTGAGTTATCTTACGACTTTTTTCTTCATGTTTGACTCCTAGTAGTTCATCAAAGCAATGCAGCAGACTACTTTGTGCAGCGCTTCCTCCAGAAAACTTTACTGGTTCTGTCTGGACGCCTTCATAAACAAGGCCCTTCGGCATACATGGGTTGTCCTTCCACCTGAGGACATACAGACAGATTTATAATTTACAACGCCTTGCAAACGTGTTCCTACTTGTTAAAGCTTTTAACATTTTCTCAGGTTACAAACACAAATCTTGATTTATTTCAATAGGATTCAACGTGACCAACAAGCGCAGAGTAGCAGATAAGGGTGTCATAGAAAGATAAATATGAATTGTTTTCCATACATTTTATGAGTAGAAATCATAAAAGGATGTCGTGCAGGCTATGAAAATAAACATACAAAGTTACAATGAGGTTCTTCAAGATCAAAACTTATTCATGTGTTAGAGTGGCCCAGTCAAAGTCGAGACCGAAATTTAACTGAGTATGTGTGGCCATGTAATCTGACTGAACTTGAGCTATTTTGTAAAACCACACGGGCAAAAGTTTTAGTCTCCTAATGTGCAACGCACAAAGACTTTGAGCTCTAATTTCAGTGGAAGATGAAAAACATGTAGGCCTATCGTTTTCCTTTTGCTTCAAACTAATATCTACCAACGTAGCACAGAAAATCCCCCAAAAAACTTCAATGTGTGTTTTGGGGATTTAATATGAGACAATGTGACAAACTTTGAGGGATATTGACCTGTTTGTAAAGCATCAAAAAGCATGTCTGAAATTTCTAAGAAGTTTTCAGAGAGCAACCGTGCGTAGTAAAATTCAAACAGACTTCTGTACCCAGACAGGAAGATCCTCATAACGCCGTAAAAGACTGACGGGTCCACATACACTGGGGGGGGGAAACAACATTCATCAAGCTATTTATGTGTATGGCCAACTTTCATCTTTTTCATTCACTGTACATGTAATTCTCACCGTGCATTAGTTTAAGTGCATCATTCATGTCCTGTATGGACTGGCCAATGTTCTCCAGTGCTTTGGTCACAGCCTCTGAGTCGCTGCACCTGACACCATTGATGACTGTGGGAATGCTCTGTAATACAGTAGCACAACAGCTTTTGTCTGAAACTTCATGGCTTTCAAATGATGCTCAGTGGTGATTTTTTTCAGTCTCCCAGTCAGTCGATCAGTTACGACAGTATTTTTCACGTGTTATTGGAAGCAAGGCATTTGTGAGTCATCTTCACCCTTATTGCAGGAACTCCTGCAAGCTCCACCAGCAGAGTGACCAAGAAGAAACCTTTGACACTGTCACCACCTGGGAGTCTGACCAGCACCTCCAGGTTCCTGTTTTTAATACAAAGAAGCAAAGAAATGTGTAAATGGAAATATTACTGTGGGGCATCAGTAGAGGAAATTTCAAACGAGAAATACTCACTCCATGTCAAAAGGTCTTGCATGTGAAAGAAACAAAAAGGAGGATTTTATTTTATTTTTTTTATGTTTTATTAATTTGTGTGGAATGTAATTAAAAATATCTGCGGGAAATGTCTTCCCTTACCCCTCTGGATCTTTCTTCCTCCAGTTAGCTAACGCTGCATCTGCATGGGTGAGAATTGATGGAAGTCCTAAGCGCTGTGACACCTCCCAGTAAGGAACAGCGAGGTTTCTTGGCAGCATCTTCAAAGAAGATTATTGAAAAGAATAACCTCACATACCAACCAACTGCAGAAGTGAAGCGAAATGAAACAGGGAAAAGCCGAACTGCATCACCTCCACTGTATCGTTTTCACCTTCTTGCCACACGTAGCCCATGGTTACCATGCCAAGGACCAGGTGGGCAAGCCTTAACTCTCTGTGGCTTTGGAGAAAGTCGGTGCTCAGCAGAGGCATCTGGAGAAGCAGAACAACCCTGAGCAATTGTTGGCTTTATTGCCACTTTATTGGTGGCTTTATTGTCATCTTTTACCTTGTTGACATGGGAGCGCAGGTCATGACTGTGTACAAGCTCTGGCACACGCAGGGCAATTTCCACCCATGGCTGGTAATAAGGGGGAAGGTTTTCCTGCAAACAGGAAAATTTACAATTGGATCAAATATAAATAAATACCAATTAAAATGGTAAAAAAAAAAAGAAAAAAAAAAAAGAAAACACACACTGATAAAATATAAAAACTTTGACATATTTATCTTAAAGCTGATGTTAAATGCTGATGTGCCGCAAGCACAAAGTGAAGAACGTGAGAACATTGAACACACGTGGTTTGCACCTTGGAAGAAAGGTCCATTCAACAAAAATAAAATAAACATGACCAAGATCAACTTCAACTTCTCCATATAAGTCAGTTTCATTTAATACTTGTTCCACATCACAGTCTTCTAACACATAAAAATATAAGCACCGCTTTTTTGTTTATGTGCATAAAAATAAATCAGTAAGAATGAAAGCTTATATTTTAAAGTTTTTTCCTGAACAGGGCTTGTAAGCAGTCATTAAGATCTCGCATTTCCTTGAGACTGTCTGGATAACAATTAAACAGCATGCAGCATAAAAGTTATTCCACCTACCAGCGGGTCTGGAAGCACAAAGCCCAGTTCTTCTGAAACATAGTAGGAGTCCAGCGAAAAAGGAGCTCCACGCTCTGACTCAGCTGAAGCCATAGAGAAGATAAGACAGGAATGAGCCTCTGACTGTCTGAATGGTGCAGGAGACTCCAACCTGACTGGACTGGACTCTGACACAAGCTTGTGTCATGAACGATTAATGCTTACACAACAGTTACCCCTGACATTTACTGTTGCACAATTCCAAGTAAAGCGTAGCAAATCAATAGCTGTCTTCATTTGGTGAATCATTTAGTAAAACTCTTATCAGCTGTCCTGCTGCTCCTTAAACATCCAAAGCTGAGAAGTTAACCGCAAGATCGATCATAATAATGATAATAACAATAATGATGTGGCAGATTAAATGCTTCAGAAGGTGATTATTTTGGAATTCAAAACCACTAATTTGCAAAGGTGAGTTCATTAGATAAGGGTTTAAAGAAAGAATAAGAAATAATACCTTTATGCTCATTTTAAAGTTTATAAAAAAAAGTTGTCAAGAGTCCATTAATCACACTTAGAGCATCAGCAGTGCTTCCTCAGCACAGCAGATAAATGACTAAGTATTAAAAAAAAACAGAATTCCAAGAATTATTCAGAGAGAATCATGTATCAAATGTGTTATATCAGACTTAAGCAAAAGTCTGCATTTCCTCACCATTGGCATGAATATCAGAACAACGTTGGGCAGTTAAGACATTTGCGTCACTCTTTTTACAAGGTGCAATATTTATATAGCACATTAAACCTAAACGATTAGCACTGGGCTCCCAACTTTGAACTTCTTGCTGATTTTTTCTAATCCAAACATGGGCGTTGTTATACACGCAGCTTCAATAATACACACACGTCCATGAGTAGATAGACACTCTTTAGCCAGAGAAACCACTGACTTTTTGGAGTCATTAACAAGCTGCTGTTACAGTTCAGAGTGGATCTTTTATCAGTTTTTCTTATCGTAAATCTGTTCTACTTTAATGTATTGGTTTTCTGACATGAATATGGCTTTTATGTACAGTTTACAATTTTTAAGTGTGACTGATTGCCAAGGCCTTCCCAGAAGTGTATAGTTAATTTACTTTATCTGTTCAGAAAGTAGTTTTAAGTGTCTGCATAACGGATGAGAGTGGAAACATATTTTAAAACAAAAGTATAAATCACTGTGTTTTTTCAACAGCCAAAGCTACTGTGTGTGTGTGTGTGTGTGTGTGTGCGCGCGCGCGTGTGTGTGCATACACGTGTGTGTGTGTGTGTGTGTGTGTGTTTATTGATAAAATTAAAATAACATTTTAGAGCTAAACTTGTTAATTAAAACCTTTGTTTATTAGGCAGAGGTTTATTATAAAATCAAAGCCAAAGTTAATTAACAAAATCGCAATAGCGAAAAGTGTGCCTCTTTTTGATTAGCCTGTGGATTTATTTTAATTGATCAAGTAGATTAATCATTAGTGAACCAACAGTACAACATTGCTGATAGGCTGCCTTGATGTGCCCTGAATACATCCAAAAGCACAAACAAATTACATGCCAAGTCTGAGCTAGACTGATAGAGCCATGCAGGCAGCGCTTGCTAATTTGTTGCAGTCCTGCTGATTTGTCCAAGTGTCGTCACTGACACTCCAGCAAGGAAAACATCAGTAAACTTGGTTCACTTGGCTCCGAACCATCCTGCTGTAGCCTTTTCGGATTTTTTCTCCTAAAGTTTTTTAGCCCCACCCATTTCTTTCTCTTTTCTTTTTGGCTTGTTGGCAAACTTAACCCTCTCCTCTTTCTTCTTTTGTTATATTTATTTTTTGAAATTTATATAAAAAACGATTTTAACCTGACATGCATCATAAGTAGATATTAGATCACCTACATTTTGCTCTCTATTATCATCGTGAGAGAAGAAAGAAGAAATGTTGAGTTGCAGCCCCACCTAGTGGAATAAATGGACCACCGCAGGACTTTTAGCACTTCATCTAAAACATTTATAAAAAATAATAATTAAAAAAAAAAAAGTTAACCATTAGTACTGTTTTGTGCTCCAGGAATTTTTGAACGGGCTGAAATAATGTCACAACATATAAAAATGTTGAAATGTTGTGTTAAAATATTGATCTGTTGAGGGTTTATCAACTGATCCTTGTTGAAATCGGCTTAACGTTGAAGCATTTCTTAACTCAAAATAAATCTGCTCTCACAGGAACATGTTGCGAATGCCCAGGTATAAAGGTCAACTGTAAAATGCTGTACTTGGTGCTGGAACAAGATTAAGATGTGTAAACGCCAGACTTCAGTCAGTCATTGCAACCTGAATGGAGCACAAACAGATGCTGAAGAAAATATCCTTTGCCTTTCAAACTCTCTTTGCTGAGGAAGATCAATTGGTTAGGCCTCTCTCAACTCTGTCAACAATGGCAGGCAGTACCTGTGAGTGGTAAGTTAGTTTTCTATTTATGTTTATGTTATTTTTATTTCTCCAACATATTCATAGGCTTGGATTCTGGAAATGAAAGCAAAGCTACATGAAGTAAAGTGCAGATCTAACTTTAGTAATTCACTAAATGTCAATTTTACATCTGCTGTTTATTGTTTGGTTTATGTGCCTTTCAGGTAGTAAAAATCATTTTTACATAATTTAGTGTGACTTCACCATCTCTTTTTATGCTTATTGTGACAGTTCTTATCATAATAAGTAAAAAACTACAATCTAAAACAGTGTGAGACTTAAACATGTGTGACGTGATTAAAAGGTCAAAATTATTGAGTTAACAACTTCAGTCTCTTATTAGAGTATGAAAAGCTGAATTTGATGGTATCATATTATCATTAGTTCTGAAGGGGACTGTAATTGGATGTAAAACTGATTATATATCTGAACTGACTTAAGCTGAATTTGAAGTGATTAGTATTCTTGTATAATTCTTGTATATCCTTTTTTCAAATGTAATGTAATGGAGATGGAGATGAGAAAGAAAGGGAGATATGTGGGGAAATATTTTTAAAAGGAAAGAGGGATGGAAAGAATATGAGACAACAACCTAGAAATCTGCTTCTATACCTGCAGAAAGAGATGAAATGAAACCACAAACAACATATGTATATCAGTAACAACTACAACATAAGACAATACAAGATTATTACGGTGTATCTGACAACACCTGACTCTCAATACCTGTGAGTGTATATGTGTTTGTGTGGTGCATTGTAAGGACAATTTTCCTTGTACATGCAACACTGTGGCGACTGATTGGTCCTCATGGGGACCAAAGCCTGCTTCTCACTAGAAGAAGTGTCTTATTTGGGTTAGGGGTGTGAATTGAGTTTACGCGTGGTTTAAGGTCAGATATGTATTGCTAATGGTTAGGTTAGCAGCAGCCCTGGGTAAGAGTCAGGGTCAGGCTGTAGAAAGGAATGCAAGTCAATATAAAGTCCTAAAGATAGAGAAACACAATGTATGTGTGTCAGTGGGCTTGTGTATATAAGTTTTCTTGATAAGACTGTTTAATAGTGTGTGGAGAGAAACACACTCAGCACCCAGGACCAGAGGCAGACATAAGATAGAACGAGTCACAGAGACCCAGAGACGCCAACACACCAGCAGCGACAAAAGTTGGACATATTTTCAGCTTCACTCGCCCTCGTATGGACGTCTACGTGTAAAAGCTCGAAATTTTGCACGCACAAATTTCGCCCGTCGCTTGGTTGGAGGAGGGTAAGCATTTGTTGAATGGAGACGGAGAGACTTCCCGTATGTTGAGCCCTTAAAGCCAAATGTTAGAATGTACACTCATTGTGCGTTTAAAAATGGCTCAGAAAAAATACCTTACAGCTTGTTAAAAAATGAATTAAATAGTTGTAACAGCTGAAAAATGTGGGGTGGACATTTCCCTGTTGTAATGTGTAATGGGCCCTGCCACTGGGTCTGCAGATCCAAAATAAAAGTAACATTTTTTAGTTTGTACATTAAATGTTTAGTTTGGGAAATAAATATTTAGTTTCCTAACCAAATGCTTAATTTCCAAGCTAAATATTTAGCTTCTAAGCTAAATAATAGTTTGTGAATTAACTATTTAGTTTGGAACTGTGGCAAATGTGAAATTATTACTTTGAAATAAGAACACCCAAATAAACCAGAACATTGCTCTTATTTTTTCTTACAGTGTAACTTTTCAAATGGAACCCCAATAGAAACATTTTTCAGAGAATTGACCAGTTTGTTCTGGAGCATCTCTTCTAATGCAGCCCTGGGCAAACGCCCATATAGCCCTTATATATTTAAAGAAAAGAAAAAAAAACGTCTCTGCTCGTATCTTGCATGCATCTTTGGACATGCATGTTTGTTTAGACATGCATGTTTGTTTGGACATGCATGTTTGTTTTCTTTGCTAAAGACAGCCTTGCAAGTGTTATGCGTTCTTACACTATTGCCCTGTATCTGATTTAGTTCCGTGTGTAAACAACATTCACAGTGTACCGACTCTATCGGGGCTGCTTCAGGACAGAAAAATTAGATTTGTGCGACTTTAAAGTGGATCAGTGTTTTGTAATGATCCCCTCTTCTTTTTTTTTTTCCTCCCTCTGTGCGCCTGCCTATTATTAGCTACGGAGGCCTTACAGTAAGTGCAAGTTGGCTCCATGACGGTCAGAGCTGCAGCTCTGCAAGCAGCGGCACATTTCAGAGCAGCGGTCGGGCTCCTTGCACTGCGGTCGCCTTTATATGCACTGATCCAGAGGGGCTTTTCACCTAAACGTCAGCGCTCGGTCGGCTATTTTCCAAGCCTCGGTCGGATCTCCTTGCCCCGAAGATGAAGCAGAACACGAGCAGCCGTCAGGTGCGAGCCGCATCCGATGGAGCCACGCTTTCCGACTCGCTCATCGACCAACCTAATGCAGCACTTCCTTTTGTTGCGGTAAGGAGGGCTCGTACGGCATTTGGTATGGCAGCGGAATCAAACTGGTTTTAATCCTTTATCATTGGTTTTGCGCTGGAGTCGCACGGAGCCGGATAAACAGGCTCAGGAGTCAGTGACGGGGCGTTACATAACGTGTAATGCAGCAAAGCCTCATGACTAGTTTGTCTCGGTGGTGGAGGGACAGTCCGCTCCTCATGGTAGGAAATCAACTACTTTATTCTCCTTCTAATATCTGGTGGCGGAGGATGCGAACCGAGAGACTATTTGCATTGTGAATTATGTGTAATATCCGACCTTATAAAAATGATTAATTAATTTGAGAGTTGCGCAGTGTAGTGTTTGCTATTGCAGGAAGGGCATGTTGTAGAGCAATATTTCAGGCGGTGGATCTTCACAGAGGCCCACCTTAAGGTCAAATTGTTATGTGTCTGTGTGTTAATACATTTGAGTCAAGCAGGGCTGCAGCTTGTGTTGCTCATAGGGAGCCTGTTTTATGAATGAAACGAGCTAGTGACTTAAATAGCAAGAAAGCAGCCTTCCTTTTAATTCTGGAAGTGGGGCATTGCATGCATAAGAAATTTTCAGTTTTTGCTAAAATAAATAAATGCCAGGAATCAGTCTTTGGAATGACCAAGAGTCAGCCCAAAGACCCAAGATGCTTGAAGAAGAGGATTACTCCTGACCCGGAGTCTAGGCAGCTGAGGTAGTATGAGGGGGGACTCACTTCATTCAGAAAATGGCAGTGTGATATATTAAATATTGATGACCTTTGGCTGCTAATTCTCACAGTTTGGTAAAAAAATATATATATATTCTGAGATTTAACATTTAAACCAAGGAACCCCTTTACCGCTAGGGGCCGGTGTCTTGCAGAGTTTGAAAGTTTCATCTTGTCTGAAATAGATAAATGAGTCGGAAAGCCTGGCTGGGAAAGTAATTGTTCCATTAGAGCAAGGATGCATCTAAAGGAGCTGACACTTCTCTGTGACATTCTAAATCTAGTGAATTTGGACAGAGGATATTTCTTATAAAGCTGGACGTTTTGCTATGACAGAACTGACATTAAAATGGCATCACTATTTCCTCGATGGATTTACATTTTCAATATTTTCCAATAGTCATGGAATTTGTAGAGAGCTAAAAAAGAGAGAGATTGTTTATGCTTTCCAGCAAAAGTTTCGCTGTGTGTTGCTTTTAAAGACCGGGATAAACAAAGCGTCCTCTCTGTTTGTCTGCCGGTCACTTTAAGAATCAGTGACGGGAAACTTGTGAATGAGCACAGGGAAGTCACGAGACCTTTCATTGATAGCTCTGCAGGCTGACTGAGCAGTGCAGATGAAAAACAGAGTGAGAGCTCCTATACCATGCAGGATGCCATAGACTTCTGGATCTGAAAGCAGTGTTTTGTTTACGGTTTTGTAATTTCCTCAGGTCCCAGTTGACAGATACTGATATGGACTATGAGAGGCCAAACGTTGAAACTATCAAGTGTGTGGTGGTGGGAGACAATGCAGTTGGAAAGACCCGCCTTATCTGCGCCCGGGCCTGCAATGCCACACTCACTCAGTACCAGTTACTCGCTACGCATGTGCCCACAGTTTGGGCAATCGATCAGTACAGAGTATGCCAAGAGGTAAGTAGGAATGATAAACATTGTTGCAAAATAGCACATCGTAAGTGCCTGTTGTGCTTTGTCTAATTTCCAAAAATGTATGAACATTCATGCTTTGTTGCTGCTCAGGTGTTGGAGCGCTCCAGAGATGTAGTGGATGATGTGAGTGTGTCTCTCCGGCTATGGGATACTTTTGGAGATCATCACAAGGACCGGCGTTTTGCATACGGCAGGTGAGGAACTGCTAAAGGCGATGTTGGTGGGACTCATCCATCACAACTAACCAAAATAATTGTGGCATGTTCAGGTCTGATGTTGTGGTGCTGTGCTTCTCCATCGCCAACCCCAACTCTCTGTACCATGTAAAGACCATGTGGTACCCTGAGATCAAGCACTTCTGTCCCCGCGCTCCTGTCATCTTGGTAGGGTGCCAGCTGGACCTGCGCTATGCAGATCTGGAGGCAGTCAACAGGGCACGGAGGCCTTTGGCCAGGTACTGAGACTTAATGTTACAATGTTTCTTTGAATGCAAGCTTTTCCTATCAAAGAGATACAAATGAAACCAGATATGTGCATATACTGCATAAAAAGTCATCTAACCTTATGGCAAACTATTGTTGGGAGTTTGTGGAAAAATGCTCAAAACGTGTGCTCAAAATGTGTAAACTGCAATTCCTGCTTCTGAATTTGAATAGCAAAGTAATAAAAAAGAAACCGTCTTTTTATTCTGACAATTAAACAAAACAGAAATTATCCATGTAATGCTAATTTACCTAAAACAGGAAAAGTTTAATGTCAGATAGTGAGGAAAAACAGTCATTTTGTTTGTTTTATCAGTAAATAAATCCGATTTTGGTTTCCCTCCTCTCCAATGGTCTTTTTCTCCTCATTTTCAGACCTATAAAATCCAACGAGATTCTTCCACCAGAGAGAGGAAGGGAGGTAGCCAAAGAGCTGGGCGTCCCGTATTATGAAACCAGTGTCGTTGCTCAGTTTGGTGTCAAGGACGTCTTTGACAACGCCATCCGAGCTGCTCTCATCTCTCGCCGCCATCTGCAGTTTTGGAAATCTCACCTCAGAAATGTCCAGCGGCCTCTACTCCAAGCGCCCTTCCTCCCCCCGAAGCCTCCCCCGCCTATCATCACTGTGCCACCTCCCCCCTCCACCACAGAAGAGCACCCGGCCAGCCTGCTGGAGGACCCGCACTGTGCTGATGTCATCCTGGTCCTACAGGAGCGACAGAAAATCTTTGCACACAAGATATACTTGGCAACATCCTCCTCAAAGTTTTATGACCTCTTCAGTATGGACACGCAAAATGAGGAGACTGAACAGCCCCCGCGTGGCCCCCTCTCTGGCAGAGAGCTGCTGATGCGTGCTGCTAGCTTCGATGTTTGCGAGAGCAGCGACGACGGAGACAGGGCCAACCTGCGGGCGTGCACGAGCGACGGCACCTTGAAGGGCTCTGAGGGCGCCCGGCGCGGCAGGCTGCTCTCCTCATGGAGTCGAGCCTTCGTCAGCATTCAGGAGGAGCTGGTGGACGACCCTGTGACGTACACCCCCAGATTCATGACCGTCGTCCACATGGACCTGTCCATCCAGCTCGGACCTTTTCGAGCAGTGCTTCGCTACCTGTACACCGGTCAGCTGGACGAGAATGAGAAGGAACTCATGCAGATTGCGCACATCGCTGAGCTGCTGGAGGTCTTTGATCTGCGGATGATGGTGGCGAACATACTTAACAACGAAGCCTTCATGAACCAGGAAATCACCAAAGCCTTCCATGTACGCCGCACAAACAGAGTAAAAGAGTGCTTGGCTAAAGGCACCTTTTCTGGTGAGAGAACTTTGTTATATTTGCTTCCTCACTGCATTTGACACAGTTATGACTAAGGGCTTACCAGTGTTTCCCTATTGATGCTGCAGATGTGGTATTCAAGCTCGACGATGGGACAATCATGGCCCACAAGCCTTTGCTCATCTCTAGTTGTGACTGGATGGCAGCTATGTTTGGTGGACCTTTCGTTGAGAGCTGCACCAAAGAGGTGAGCCAAGGATAGACTGCATATCAGATGTTCTTTAAAGCTAGTAAACACTTTTCTGTTAAGACAAAATGAAATCATTGTTTTTACCGTTCAAATAAATTGCTCTGCTCTTGTGGAGTCCAGATTGTCAGATTTCTGTTAAGAAAGCCTTAGTAAACAAATATGAAAACCAAGATAAGTCAGGAAGAAAGTTGTGAAGAAGTTCAAAGATGGTTTAAGTTATAAAAAAAATATCCCAGCACTTTTTAGAACAGTACCCAATCCATAATCTAAAGAGTTAAAAATGGACAAGTTGGGAAAGAAGAGCATTATTTGAGAGCAATTATTAGTTGTGAAGTCCATTAATGACATTAATAGGAAAGTGGGAAGAAGAAAACCAGTGTTGACAGAAAGAGATAAGAAACCCTGTTAATAGTGTGATGCCAACGTTGCAGATGACACAGCAAACATGTGGAAGAAGGGGGTTTGATGAGACTAAAATTTAGCTTACAAAAGACGATGTGTCATAACAGCTAACATTAAACATCACCAACCAAGTAAGATGAGACTAAATATGAGGCTATCCTGGAATGAAGTTTCTGAAAGCTTGCAGCAGTCTTTGTTCTGGTCTGGTTGGAGGACAACAACAGTAAACAAAGAGTCTGCCACAACAGATGAGAGTACATTCATGTGTTAAAATGGTCTAATCAAAGTCTAGAGCATTTGCTTTTCATAGGTGCTTTCCAGTCTGCCTAACTTGAGCTATCTTCCAAACAAGAACAAGTTATTGACTTAGTGGGGGTGGATATGAAATCCACAAAACTCAGAATTTTAATTGGAAGTGAAGTTTCAAATCATGTAATTTTCTTTCGACTTATTGTACACAATTGTATATTGTGTATATTAAAGTTCCAGTAAAATACATTAAGTTTTTAATGCCTTTAAACTTTTTGTAAGATGGCAAAAAGTTTAAAGGATCTACATACTTTTGTAAGGCACGGCAGGCTGACTTTAGCAGCACTCCACTGGGGAGCTGAGGGATAATTCAATTAGGGGACTCTAACTCTGGTTTAATACTATTAAACTGGCTTTGTGATCCAGACATACTGTAAATCTGTGTGGGAGATACAGTGTGTGTTTTCACTCCAAAGTATAGTGATTTACTAAAAGAAGAAGAAAAACTTTTCAAAGCAAAGATTATATTTCTTAAATCTATTTTTAGATGCACTGACCAATAATCAGCTTTAAGACAGTTTAATTAATGGGATACTTCTCATTTTTGCTTGTGTCACTGCTGCTGCAGGTAAATACATTACATAGTTAAACCCAAAATTATTCATACTTGTGGAAGATTTAGATTTACATCAATATTTATTTATTTATTCATTTATTCATTTATTTATTTATTTATTTATTTATTTATTTATTTATTTATTTATTTATTTATTTACCTAGAAGTTTGTATCTGATGGAAAACCAGATATGCATCTCAAATGATAATAAATCAAAGTAAAAGGAGTGTCTGTTTTGAGAATACAATAATAATGGCATGTCAAAAATTATATAAAGCCTTCTAAAAATGGTATGAACAATGTTTGGCCAATCTATAACATTAAAAAGTTGCTTTTTTTCCAGTTTAATTACTCAAATGGAAATCAGTCTTTTCATATATTTTCTAGGGATCCTGTATTATCCTTATGCATATAGACATTTATTTTTGAGGCTAAACTGAAAAAGCTTTGCATATTGCATTGTGTTATTTTTCTTTTTTCTGCATTAGTGCATCATCTGTAGCCATTTCCTGTGTGAACCATTATCTTAGCTCCTATTTCTTTAAGCATTACTCCTTGAAAGGGCCAGTTAGATTTCTGCATAGAGTGAGAAAAAGCCTGTTTCTCACTCTTAGTCCATTTAGAAGAGACAGAATCTCTATAGCAGGGTTCCCCAAACTCCGCCCCGCAGGCCAGATCTGGCCCGCCACGTCATTTGATCTGGCCCCCTGAACAATGCCGGATCTGGCCTGCCTCCTCATACCAGAGAGCATTCAGTGTTTTTTTTTCATATATTGTATTTTCTGGTTTATATGTGGATTTTTCTTCATCCACTCCACCAGGGGGCTCTTGAGCAGATGTGAAACTAACTTTCCCTCAATGGAATATATACTAGTCAGTCCCAGTCACCGTTTCACTCACGGTTTTTTCCATTTGCATTCTGGGTAAAAATCTATCTAAAAGCGCGAATGTGTCGTCGCGCCCCCACTCCCCCGTGGACAAGAATTTTCTAAGGTTTCTTTCTCCAAAAACTAAGACCGGTCCCCGACCAGAGAAAGTAACAGCTACGTGGCCCTCGCAGGAAAAAGTTTGGGGAGCCCTGCTCTATAGACATTCTGTCTATAGAGATATTAGGAGAAATAAGTCCTCTCATAGCAGATGAGCTTCTGGAATTTACAAATCGGCAGAAAATCTGAGCTCGTAAGTAACTCCCCGCCCCATCTTTCTATTTGTAAGGTGCTGCTTCCCAACACGACCCGGAGCTGCATGCGAGCCGTGCTGGAGTATCTCTACATGGGCAGATTCTGCTCTCGGTCGGACTTGGATGCAATGGAGCTCATTGTTCTTGCCAACCGTCTTTGCCTGCCCCACCTGGTCGCTCTCACAGGTATCGCATTTGCTGTTGCTTATTTCCCTGCACTGGATCGTATCAGAAATAAAGCTGCATGCTTTTTAATTGGTCTCAGACTCTGAAGCGTGTTTCTTTTCAGAACTCTACACAGTAACAGTTCTGACGGAGTCGGCGATGATGGGGACGGATATCGATGGCGATGTGCTGATATACTTGGATATGGCCCAGGTGTGCTCAAGAAACTACTACCAAGAAAAAAAGCATTTACTTTACATCAGTTTCATGAAAAAATGAATACAAAATTTAATTAACTACTGAAAGTCTTTCAAGAAGCAGTTCAGATTATCTATAGCACCATATGGAGAAATATGTTGCAACATTCAAGTGTATTTTCAAAATTGAGGATATTTATTCTAATCAGAGGTCAAAAATCTCAGTTTTTAGCTAGAACAACTGACACTGCACTAAAATAACAATCTGACTTTGAATGTTGACAGTTCCACGGAGCCCAGCAGCTGACTGGATGGTGCTTGCACCACATCTGCACCAACTACAACAGTGTCTGCCGCAAGTTTCCACGTGAAATGAAGGCAAAGTCCACAGGTGCCACATTTAGACTGTGCTAAGATTCTGCTGTTGTCATTGTTTTTCTCATTCTTAACTTGGATTCTGGCACAAATGACTGCAAAGAATGAAGCTGCTGAGATTAATATCTTATTTTCTAAAGTCCTTCATTAAAACTAAATATTTTTTCAACTTTTAGGATAACTTGAAACCATCTTCTTAAAAAATCGCTCTACTGAAAATGTAAATTATTAATAAAAATGTATTCTGATGCAGAGAACCAAGACTACTTTGAGAAACATCGCTGGCCACCAGTTTGGTACTTGAAGGAAGACGACCACTACCAAAGAGCACGCAAAGAGCGTGAAAAAGAGGATTACCTGTACCAGAGACGGCAATGTAAACGCAAGTGGCTCTTCTGGAACCTTCCTTCCTCCCCAAACTCAAACTCACCCTCTGGATCATCTGCCATTATTTGACCAGGTGGTAAGGGCGGGGTCCAGTCTGGAGTCCATCTGTATGTTTGCAAATTGTAAAGGACACAATAGAAGACAAGCGCTGATAGCTTGGTATACTCCAAACATTCAGGCAGACTGTTTATCCCCCTGCCTCTGTGGGCATACGCTCCAGGTTTGCAAAGTCAGCTCAGAGTTGTGAATAAATTTAAAAGTATTACTCCTTACAATTTCAGACAAACCTCCGTGGTATAAACCGTCTTGACTTATGGCACAGTGGAACAAGTGCGAAGATCAGATCTCGTGGATTGCTAAATATGCCCTTATTAGAATTTTAAGTTTAATAAATACAAATTTGTCGGCACAGAACTTTCAACCTGCGGCTATAAATAAATACCAATAACCTGAGCTGACAACTAAGTGCTGCTTACCAGCTGTGACAACCAGCAATTCAACAGTAACTCAAGTCTCAGAGATAAAACACTTTGCCCTCAAGTGGTTGTACAATCTGTCAGATCGCATGTTGATCCTGATTTCAAACTGGAGATAACAAAAGTACGGCTTGTCTGGAAAGAGCAAACTACAGTAATTCATTTGGAAGTTTCTATGACGATCATGTCTACAAAAAAAAAAAAAACAACCACACAAAAACTTCTATTCCTGTTATTTTTGTATGTTTGTTTAACTTTGCAGAATTTGTACAATAAGCTTGCACAGCTTAACCTGGTATCTCTTGACACACATACCACCTACATATGGTGATCTTTTGGTCTGTGGCTTTTTGCCACAAAAGGGCTTAAGTTCACATGAATGGATACAGTGTCATCTGACACAAAGGCTTCCTGCTTCGAATTGCTCCGTTCTTTCAATTGCCCCTGAATGCAGCTATCACCACTGCTATTCTAAACAGGTTTGCTCAACGTGGATTAATAGCACACATGTTCAACTACATGTCTCCATAAAATAGTCCTGTCATTTTGACTGCTGTCATCCTAAAAAGCAACAGATAATGTATTAATCATCAGAGCTGAAGTGATTGTATTGTTACTGTATTGTTGTCTGTGGTGGGAACTTGTTTTTAAGAGATTTGCCCCTTTGAGGGTGATTGGTTATTTGAAATCTGTACATGGCAGAGTCGGTGGGTGTCGGTCGGCGTGTTAACTTACTACTGGATGATCTAATCCCTGCCCTTCAACATCACCACAAGCTCTTTCTGAACTCCAGAGAGAAACATATGAACTTCCAGCGGCAGCATACTGCTGAGCAGCATTAGACTGTATCATGCTATGTCAAGACAGGCTGCAGAGGAGACAAAACCAAGACATTTAAGGTCGCTCAATTCAGTTTGTGACTATCAAAGCATCTTTCTGGATTTGTTTTGCACACCTTGCTGTATGTCATTTTCAAGATTGTCATCTACTGTTGCTCTTGATTGTATGATGGGCTGCAGAATGTTTCAGATTTGCAGGCATGGTGCTCAGAGAGGATGGGTAGTACTGTAAATTGTATTAAATATCAGATAAACTCTAATGTACTGCTGTTAACCAATATTGTGCACTGCTGGCAGTGAGCAAAATCTTACTGTATTACTCAGTAAAACTGAAAATAGACTTATGGAAATAGTTTTTAGTTACTGTGCAGCTATTTACATGATGTTTGAAATAACTGAATACTTATTGTGCTGACTTCCAGCTACATCTGTTACATACTTTACTGTACATGCAAATTATAGGCAGGTAAATTTAACAATGGATTATACTGTATGTAAAATAGAGTTTCAAAGTAAAGTAGATATTCACATATATGAATTATATCATGAAAATGTACGTTACATCCTGAAATCATGCTCTGGTTGTACGAAAACAGACTTTTCATTGCAGCATTAGCTTACATAGTGTCAATTTAAAAAAAAAAAAAGTTTTCTTTAATATTGTATGCTATTGTTTGTTCTTTTGACTGACTGGACATGAAGGATCTAGCAAAAGTCTTTGTACCGCTTTCACCTTTTCACATGTCACGTTGCGACAGGCTTTAAGATATTTTATTGGTATTTCATCCGACAGGCAGCATGACGGTGTCTTTGAGGTGGGAAGAAACTGTCAAAATTCTTCACAACAGACTATTTCTTAAAAGTGTGCATCTGTGTGTTCTCCCCTTATTCAATACCATGTAGAACCACCTTTACCTGCAGGCACAACTGCAAGTTTTTTTTAGGCTATTTCTCTCAAAGCCTTGCAAATTTTTGCCTTGCTAACATTTAAAATTTGCTATGATCTTAACTGTGCTGTTGCAGCTGTTGTAAGTTGAGTTGTCATCATGGAAGATGATCCCATGGGGATGGTGTGTTCAGGGTTATGTGCAGTGTTAGATTTGCACAACACACTGCATTGCCATGGAGTTCAAATTCAATGTAAATTGAACTGGAGACCCTTCTACCACATGCTGGTTCAGGTCCCTACATGATGAGGCAAACTGCAAACAGGACCCCTGCAGGCCTTATTAATGCATCTCGTCTGTAAAACTTAGATTAGTAAGATGCATTTATAATAGTTGTTCTGCTGACAAATGCTTCCACCTGAGTTGTTGATCTCTGCAGCTTCTTTGGAGTCATCATTGGTCTCTTTGCTGCTTCTTTGATTAATGCCCTCCTTTCTGTTTGTCAGCCGTATCTTGATATACGTGAACTTGTTCCACACTGTTTCCATTTTCAGATTTTGGGGGGGGAAAAAAAAAAAAAAAAAAAAAAAAAAAAAATAAATAAATATTTATATAT